ATTTTTATATTTTTAAAATATTCTCTTCTTTTATCTGTAAATTTTCTTCTGTAGAGTTCTTTCAGTGTAAGTGATGATAATGGTGGTCTGTTTTTCACCTTACGCAGTTCTAGGTTTTGTAAATGAATCATCACATTTCCTTGTATAATTACCTTTTCTGTCCTGTACCTCTTGCAATTGCTCTTCTTCTATCCTCATATGATCTGATCTCATTGGAGAAACAGAGAAGTCATTTACTTCAGTCTAGCAACTGATAAGGATTCCTAGGCTTTATTTCAGCCTGACTAAAACTTACAAAAAGATTTCATTGCAGTTTCTGAAGAAAATGGCCTGAGTGGAAGAAGTATTAATTCCTCTTGTACTTCTAACTCCTACTGACATTTATGGAAGCTGATAGAATTGATGTCCAAAAAGAGAGCTCCTAACAGAAGGATGAAATACAGCTTCTGTCTCTTTGCACAGACATAGACACTATCAGCAGGTAGATACGGGTCCTTCACCTTGAAAGCTGTCTTACAGATATAAATTATGTACCATTTTGTTTCTGTTTATAAGTTGCCAAACATTTGGTCATTTTTGTGCTGTATGATGAATCTTCGCTCCACTTCTGAGAAGAAGAACACATGGAGCCAACCATTTCTGTTGGGTAACCACATCTGAAATGATACCAATTAATGAAGTTTCACTGCCTTTCACAGGGAAAGCTGGCTTAAAGGTTTTATTAAGATTCTAATGCTTACTGAAGGAAAGTATTATCTAGTGAGGTAATTGGCACAGATATCTTTTTCTGTGGAATACTGGAAAACCAATACAGATTAATGTTTTGATGTTTTAATTCTTTTTTTTATTATTTTTGGTTGTGGCTGAATTCATATTTAAATGATCTTGCTACTGCTTGAAAGGTACACAAGTGAAAACACTGCATACTAAGCTTCCCTCGTGAAGCTGATTGTATTAGTTTGAATGTCAGACAGCATTAGGTTGGATGTGAGACTTGACTGTGAGGATACTTAGTAATGAATGCGAAGTCAAGCATAACTTTGTAATAAAGTAAGAAAAAGGAAAGCTTTGTTTTTAACACATCAGATTTCTTTTTATGATCATGTAGGCCATAAATCATGCCTGAAATAAAAGGCTTGTGGTTAATGATCTAAAAGGCAGTCATGGGCAAATATGGGAAAGTATGAAGATTTCGGGGGAATGCTCCACCAAAGTGGGATGGCAGTTGTCTTCCTGTCCTCTCTTTTGTATCTGAGCTCTTGCAGTGCCTCTTCTCTCCAGTGTCACTCAGCAGAGACCAGCCCCACAGTAGTGTGTTGCTTTTGGTGGTTAGGCAGTTCTGTGCAGGCTGTGCTGGGTGCTGATGTGCTAAGCCCCAGCATGTGCCTTGGTTCTTGTGCTCCCTGGGTCATCCTCAGTCTATCTCTCAGCAATAAGCATGCACATTTAAACACTCAATGATTTAAACTTTTTAAATACTCACAGTTAAGTACTGAAAAGTCTCTTTAGACCATTAATGTGTTTAGCTAATGTGGCCAGTCCGTGCTGGCACAGATTATTGGTGATTCTTATTTTAAAATCAGAAATCTAATAACTGAAACTTCTTTCTAGAATGAGAAAAACATTTCACTGCCTTAATATTGAATCATACGTATTTTTCCACTTCAGTGATAAGGGTAGCCAAAAAGCATGGAAAAAGGTTATAATTAGTTCCAGCTATACAAGTATAAATCCGTATGCTGGTTAGACTTTAGAAAAAAAGCCATTTGGCTCAAAATTCATTAAGATGTTCCCATTAAAAATTGAGCACCCATGAATTAGTTTGACAGAGAAAAGCTGCTGGAGCATTTGCTTCACTTGGACTTGGTGTGCTTCCGCCCTGCCTTTATTGCAAGCACTGCTGCCAGTTATTTCACCCAGCCACAGCCTTGGAGCCCCCTGTGATTTTGATAAATTATGTAAACTTCAACTATGGCTTGTAGATGAAGTCCCACTGCATTATTACTCCGAGTCTCAGCAGAGTTTGAATATTAAGCCTACTAGGCTGATTAGTTCAGGTCTGAAGCATTCCTTAAAATCAAGTTGGAGGCATCCGTAAAAGGATGGCAGGGTGACGTATAGAAAATACATAGGCTGATAGACTGAGTGATGACAGATGGCAGAAAGTATTGTGAAGTTGCTCAAATTTAAGCAGCACATCAGAAACATTCACAAAGCTGGAAATCAAATTCGGCTTGTGAGACCATTTGTATTCTGAGGTGTCTGAGAATACTGAAACACACTGCTGCTTTTTCTTCTATTTTCACTTGACGATTGCCATAACCAGCAGAACCACAAAGTACAGGCGCCACTGATGCTCAAATGGATGCTGAAATGTGGATAGAATATATACTTATAGCAGCCCTATTCTGCTGAGGCAGAGATCTCCATAATATCATACATTTCCAAGCCTACTTCAGAACCAATAACACCAAACCTAATTTACTGTTAGCTTTGCTTTGAAACAGATTCTACCTTGACTTGGATGATCTGATTAACTGAGTTATCTGCATGTTGGACTCTGCACAATTTGAGTAGGGAGATGCGTACGGTATTGCTCATTTGTCTCTGGGAGATATTCAGTTCTTCTGCTTTTTTTGCTGTTATTTTTAATTGAAGGCAAGCTTAGTCAGAGTTTAAATAATAATAATAATAATAATGAAAAATGCTATAGCATTGAAAAATAGTTATTTTTTTGATTAGTAGTTTTTGATAAATTCTTAACCAGTATTCTACACATCTTTCACATTGTTAATTTTTCTTGGTGTTGGCTAGTACACATTATTATTCTACGTTCTTTTCTCTAAAATTTGAATGCAGTTGAGTGAGAGCTTATGATTACTATCCTGTTCATTATTGCCCAAGCTCAGTTTGATTGAAAAATAAGACAGAAAGGGTAGGCAGGCTAGATTGGAGGGCACAAAAATTGGGTGGTATTGCGATAAATACCTTAAGATTCTTTCAGGAAGCACACAGAAATGAATTACATTACAAAGAATATTGTGTTTCCCGTGTATACTGTGGGTAAGCTCCTACTTTGTTTCCAAATCTATTTATAGTTCCAAGATTATTTGAAGTCTTGATGAAATCGTTTGGTACCCATGGTTAGCAAGCACGCTGCATGAACTAACGCAAATCTAGGGCTGTGATATATCAGCAATTCTGTCCTTTTTTAGCAGTTATTTTTTGTTACAAATCCTCACAGGTATAGACAGTAAAACTGAAGTTTATTTCTCGTCTTTGTAGTAAGCTGTATTTAACATTATTGCTTCTGACTGGCTTTACCTTCCACAAGGTATCGTGGTACTTGGGAAACATAGTCTTCATCTGCATTATATACCTCTGGAAACTGTCAATCTTTAGGACATACTGTTTCTGAGTAGATGAGAAACAGTTTACATGCTGAATGTTTATGGAGATCAAGCAGTGAGGTGGTGGGTGATGCATTTCAGCAGTGGTGACAACAACTAGCTACATTCCAAAAGGCCATGCAGGTTTTTATGACTGATATGCAGGCCCTTGTTCATCACTGGTAAAAATGCACCAGCTGATGGTGGTAACTGTGTTGAAAAAGTGCTTTGTAGCTGAGAATTTTCACTCTGAAGTAGTGCCGTTATGTTTTTTGCATCTGTTGTAGTTACCATGGAAATAAATAGGAGCGACCAACGTAATATTTACGAAGGCTGTTAGATTTATTTGCTCCTACCAATTTTCTTCTAACAATCCTTTCTTGAGTGCTACATATTAATTAAATCAGTTCTTAAAAGCCAACATGACAGCCATATGCATGGTAATTAGCAGGTACAGCCCAATTGCCACCAGAAGCAGTAATGTTTCAGTACTAATGGGCCATTACGGTGAGCGGGTTATGGTCTCAGCATTTCTTTTCTGTAATAACGTTGTCCTGGGCATCAGCTTTTCCTGCTGACAGCAGCTCGAAGTAGAACCACAGCTAAAAACAGGTAACAGTAATCCTCCTGATCCAAATGTGCTTGCTAATGAAAAGCTTTTGGGGGAGAGAAGAATTTGGAGTAGCATTAATATTTCAGACATATGTTTAAATCATCTAGGGCTTGTATTGTTTTCTGCTCTAATCACGCTACTTGTTTTTAAACAAAAGCTTACAGAAATCCATTCAATTCACAGGAGAGCTCTGAAATTGTAATGCTTATGTTCCTATAAAACATTTGTTATATTATTGCAATTCATCTCCCTGTGTTATACAGGAAACACAGCAAATGAAAACGTTTCTGAAATGCCTATTGCTCATGCTTGATTTCTGGACGGGGAAGAAGAAAAGTAAATTGCTCATGTAGAACAGAGACTCTCCTTTCATTTTCTTGTTCTCTCCTAAGCAGCGCACAGAGACTAGTAGGTGCAGTGTTATTATTTATCAGTGGATTAAAAAAACAGTCCTCTGTTCACTCGTGTCTTTTAGGCTGCCATCAGAGACTGGGAGACTGAGGCAAGCAGACTCACATCCTGATGAGAGGGAGCAGTTCCTCTGCTCGCAGCCTGGTCCTTGGCCCACCCCAGTTACTTTGCATGGGCTGTGGAGAGTGGTTTTCCAACACCCACTCGGTGTGTATGGAGTTACTTAGGGACTACTTGATCTTATTATGCTGCAACCCACATTATACCTGGACTAAGTCAAATTTTCCCTTCTCTCTTTAGCTCGGCTATGAGGCTTAACAGATGTGGCAGAACTGAAGCATGGAAAGTCTGTCCACAGGAGAAACGTTCAAGCTATCTTGAGACGTTGGATGCCAACAGCTATGAACCTCGCTTCTCATCTGATACCTGCCTTGGGAAAAGCATGTGAAAGCAGACTAAAGTTTTTAAGGTAAGTGTGTGAAATGCCAAAGTAGAGAGCAGGCAGCTGTTCAGTAAGTGAAACATGGTGAAAATGGGTACATCCAAACGGTGACATGGCGAGCTGCATTCCTCAGCCAACTGTGGCCTTCTTCAAGGAGTAAGCACTCACCAAGCCCATCGAAGAAGCCTCACCAAGGTGTGGTATGAGACTGAGAGGCAGGGATGGTAAACTTCCTCCTCCTTTTTTCTGGGTGCACCTGCATGAAGCTTTTGTCCTATTTCAGTGCAGCTGGGCACCTGAATCCAGCTAACCCCATCCCACGCGGACCTAACACACTAGCACAGGTAGAAACAGAACGTAATTTGAGAAAGTGCTCTTTTCTGTCTCCTGTCTAAATGTTGATTCTTCATGAAAAAAGATTCTAAATCATCCTATGCCTGAGATGCTTGTGTGTGAATTTGGGTGAATGTGTAAGATATGTAAAGCCAAGGCTAAGGTGACGGCGTTCACAATCCAAGTCTTGGTATGCTGTTGCAATCTGATCTCAGCATATATTGTGCGAGATAATTGGTGTAGCTTGGCTTCACATCTAGTGTTAGGCTGAGCAGAAAGATGAAGATACTGAGCAAATGAAGGTAAAGCCAAGAAGATTTCTGTTAATGTCACTGGAAGTACATTTGTGCATAGAATGACCATGCAAATGTGATGTTTCTCTCTGTCAATCATTTACTCTTATTCTTTCTAGGCATTAGAATTTTGTCTTTTGTTTCTTGTGATTCATGAGAAAAATATCTGTCATCAAACAGTTTACAATTACTGGACAATGTTCTCGTCACTGTCATCTGGGACATGGGAGATTACTCCTGTTGTGGACAGAGATGACTGAAAAGTCTTTTAACATTGTTTGATCTGTCTCTCCCAAAGGTAGAGTGAGTTCTTTTAACTGTACTACTATATATAAGCATATATTCAGAGAGCAGTAGAAGAAGGAGTAAGGAAACAACTGCTAGAGAAAACAAATAGGAAGAAAAGTGGATGATGCCCGCTTTGAGTAGGTAATTTTGGATCTATAGTGATTTATAGTTTAAAGTCCATGCAATGTCAGTGTAACCTACAATTGGATAAATTACTAATTGATGTTAAGGACCTGTTTGCCAACTTTAAAAAAAAGTACTGTGAATAACAGCAGGAGCAACTTCTGATGTGCAAAAGTGATATTTTGTATTTTACTAAATTATGTTCATTAGCTAAAATATTAAGTTTCTAGATGTTGTGGTTTTTTACATATATGTGACTTTCTCTTTTGTGAATCATTTCTGTCCGTATGCAGGCTCTACTCAGTAAGGCCTATACACTCTCAAAGTAAAGAGCAATCAATATTGTGGCCCTCGGAATTCTTCAAGCTATTCTTGAGGCCCATGTGCTCATTTGCAATTTCTGCAGTGATAGAATGGTTTGTGAACTACCTGCGAATCTAGTTGACCTTGCTGAATCTTTTTTTTTTTTTCTATAGTAGTCATTCTTTCTCCCTTGCTCTTCCCACTCTCTTTTTGTTCCTCCTCTCTTCCAAAAGAGAATCAATTTTAAAGTTTTTTTCCCAGTTCTACAGTGGGGAGAATGAGTCCTAAGACACTAAGGAGTTTAAACCTACTCTGCGTTATTTCTGGGCTCACTGCAAAGCCCATTTACAGCAGAGACTTTACATCAACTATAACACAGTTCAGACTGGGTATGTATGTTGTAACTGAGCAAAATTCTCATCTTCCCTCCTCCTTTCATCTCACTTTTCAGTCTCTCTCTGTTTTAGACTGAATACTCTTCACTTTGTGTCCATTCTGTCTCCTCCTCCTCAGTAGAGCTGAGGTTCAAGCTGAACTTCAACAAGTAAAATTTGACTGGGTAAATATATTAATTACAATAATGCATTTATTTATTACTAAATTGTTGAAGTAGAAATCTTAGTAACATCTTTTAAAGTGAAATTACCGTTTCTATATCATTCTAAGAGAAACAAAAGTAAAATACCTATAAGCTTGCCCTTGCAGGATTAACTTTGTTATTTTATTTTTGCCTTTTACTAGATTTTCAGTTAAAGGATTATGTATGGAAGTGTGAGATGTTGATCTTGTCAATAAAATCTCACAACCTCTGTGTGCAGCAGAGCATGACTTTGGATATCATCAGCAAAGAATGTGTGCTTCTCCCAAGAGGTGATTTGCTTTCCCACCATGAAAATGCAATGTTGGTAGTAGAAAATGGAAACTGTGAAAAATTACCAAGAATACAGGTGCATTGCAATAAAACCTCAGCAAACAGATGGGAGTTTTAAAAATCCTGATGTTAATGACACTCTTTGTTTCTTTTCATCTGCCAGAGCATCCTTGTGGCGCACCTTTTTAGTTCTATTGCAAATTTTTAACCACTTCTAATTAAGATTAGATTGAATCCCACCAGTTGTAAGTAAATCCTCAAGCTCACTGTCCAAGTGAACTCCATGAAGATGCCAAAACTTCTAGTGGTTAGGATTAATCTAATTGAGGGTGTTTTTGTGTGTTTACATTTATTGTTATTTATTATTGTTTGTGTCTGCGCGTGTGTACAAATGAATGCTTATAGATTAGAAATAAGAATAATTAAGCAGTAAGTAATTTTACTATTTCAGTATGTATGTGTTTTATCCCTCAGTAAAATTATTCTTGCTTTGAAAGCAATAGGAGGTTTGCTTTTGATTTGAATGATACTCAACTCTTTTAATGTCTGGCTTTTGCTATAATCTGGCATGATTTGATGGTCAAGCTTGATGACCTAGAAGGTCTTTTCCAACCTGAATCCTGTGTTTCTATAATTGCATGCTAGAGCTTTGAAAATCAAAGAACAAAGCTGCTGTTATTTTTTTAACTAAAATTTATTACAGAAGTTGCTGGTCAGAAATATTACCCTGTGTGCATCTCTTGTAAGGCTGGTAGATGAAACTTCAGTTGTGGATGCACTGCAGATTTGTGTTTCACTTTCCAGTGCTCTCTGTGAACAGTAGTTTCATTTTTCTTTTCTTTGGGGGTTCAACATGTTCTTTATTTGACAAGTATGATCCATACCTCTTTGTCGTAGTAGACATTGAATTTCTATCTTTCATGTAAGACCTTGGTGATAACACCTTCCAGCATGCTCCTGAGACTATATTACAGGTTTTAAATTAGTTGAATAATTTTTATTATTTTTCTTGTGTTATTGTTTTGTCAGCAGATTGATCAACCCCTTTTCATTGTTGTCCACATCACTGCAGTCATTTATTTAAAACATTTGTGGTCATTCTGCTTGCTGTTGGCACAAAACTGAAGAAATAGTGTTGTGGGATAAGTAGGGATTCGAAAACATTTCATCTTCCTTTTGTGGTAGTTTCCTCAGTCTGTTTAATTTTGTAATTCACATCTTATCACTTGTGCAGGAGATTAGTTGCTATTCTAACAGTATTGTACGGCACTGTCTCGTTATCATAACTCTTTGTGCTGTCAGATGCTAATCTTCCTGTCCTGAAAGCTTCCCACAGTCTGAGACATTAACTGCATGCTTTATGTTCCAGTTATCTTTACATTAACTAAACTCTGTGTATTGTTACAAATCTAGTGGATATTTGCCTCACATCTCTTCTGCCTGCAGAGAACAACACAACAAAGGGGAAGAAGGTATTTCAGTGAGAATGATTGTGGGTTTCTTCTTAATCTTTCTTCTTAAATCTTAAATCTCAATCTGAGATTAGCTATCTCAGAACATGCAAAACCTTTTCCTAAGAGGAAGTCTCACTGAAGAGGACTTCCTCACTTTGTTGCAGTCTCAATTCTTGTTCATCATGTGCTATATCTCCTATATTACACCATCTAAATATTTGACAGCAGAAGGGATTTTATTTTAATGTTTTATTTTTGGCATAAAGCAGTCTTTAATTAATACTGTCTAGCCAGTACAGGAGCAGTGTTTCTTCTGTTACTGCACACACTAGATAATTTCATATCAAGGACCCTCAGAATTACCAAGGAAAGAAACCTAGACTGATGTTAAGGAACAGACTGTCCATCAGCCCTGCCTGGTCAGGGCTGTCTTCAGAGCTGCAGTCTTGGAAGACTGAGCTATGGTGTCCTGAGGTGAGGCAGACCATTGCAGCACTTGGTATAAGCCCAATCTTTGTGAATCCTGGGCTTCGCTTGCTAATTTCTGTCCCTCTGATCTTCTGGCAAACCTGATATTTATCTCTTAGTCAAGAGATCCCTTCCTACATATCGGGAAATTTCAGTATTTGCTGAATCAGTATCGTTCTAATTTTACCACACCAATTTCCTTTTATTTGATTTATCATCTGGTCCTACGATGGGAAGCCTGAAATAAATATCCTCTGATTTATGTTGTACGTTCACTCAATTCTATAGCAGCTCCTTGTATTTTACTCCCCAGTCAGGTGAATCAGTATTTTCTTCTAAAATGAAACTTAAAGTAATTCTGATATAGAATTTGGGATACAGTTTATAGGAGGTGAAGGCTAAGTATATTCACACGCTTTTGTACACATAGATATGTATATATATGTATGCATACTTATCTACTTTATATATTAAAAAATTGATTTGGAAATTCTTTTGTACACTGTTTTCTACATTAAAAAATGTAGAAAATGTAAAAAATGTCCTCTTCCACAGAATTATTTTTCTCTGTATTTATCTTTGGTTTCTTGGAATTTTACTACATAGACTTCTAGTGTCTCATACAGTTTTCATTTCAGGGCCTGTATCTCTTGCAGTAGGCAGCTTGTTTCACACCAGATTGGATCCTTCTTTTCTTCTGCACAACAATTCTATGTTGCTGATTTTGTAAAAAGGCAATCATCTCCAGATGCTGCCAATGCAGGATTACAGCTTCACACCTGAAATAAACAGTAGAAGAGACTGATTGAAGGAATGAAGGTGTTTTCATACGTGTACAAATACTTAAAATGGAAGGGAAAAGAAAGAGAACTGTCCAATTTATTTTCCTGTAGGTGTTCTTTTCTTCTTGGAGCTTATAGCAGTGACTTTAATTCCACCTCAATTGTGGTGAGATATAATATAATCTGGAACGAGTCTGAAAGCATCCCAGACACATGGGCTGTCTAGAGAAAGCCAAGCAAGTGTCAAACTGAAGGTTCCTTTTTAAGAGATAAGGTGATTATATGCTGTTATAGAAGCCCACTGTGCAATTCCTTAACCTTCATAGTCACAGATTATAACTGAAATTCTCACATCTGATAGTATTTGATGAAGCAATTAGCATTTTGAATCACAGTAGACTAATGCAGTTCAGAATGACACCTGAATATTTTAAATGGCTTAGATGCATCTGATGATTTCTTGTCTCAACGTGCTATACTTTTTATTTCTAGAAAATCTAAGGCACTTTAAAAGTGTAGTATTGTGAAAAAAGTTGCTGTAGCAGGTGTTCTTTTTTTTTTTTAATATAAAGTGCTTTCCCTGGGGGCTTTGGCTTTTCTTTCCTGATCATAAAGTATGTATTAGCTCTTTGAAGCAGTAGTGCAGTCCTATTGTGGTGGGCACTGAAAAGCATAAAATCACAGGCAATCACTTTGCCATTGTATTTTGAGATTAAAAAACAGAGCCTAACAAATGAAGCATATCTTGAGCCAGAAGATGAGGTAACATCAAATAATACAGCATGTCTAGCACAGCTTAACTGTGAATAAATTCTTAGCCAGTCATCCCTTTGCCAATCTGTTTGCCAAGGCAAGGCCTTGATTTGCCTTTCAGGTATCACTGGTTTTTGTTTGTTTCCTTGCCTTTTTTATCTTGTTTGTAATATAGAATTTTAATTTAGGTTTCATTACATTCTTCCAGGAATTCACGAGGAGCATGCTGTTCTTCATAAAACTCAACCTGAACATGTACTTCTGTATTTATTCTCTTCACTCTCTTCCTGACACCTGAGTGACTGGATCCTGGCAGCACATATTTTTAGCAGATTATCCATTTTTTTTAATGTAGAAAACAGTGTACAAGGATTTATACAAAGGCCTTGAGATGACTCAACTATTGGCTTGTATCTCTGCAGCAGAAGGCTGTGGTTTCCATTTCCACCTCATGTACTAGGCTCGTACCCAATGCTTGGCACCGTATTTCAGTGACAGGGGGTGTCGCATCGTGGGAGATGTCATCCCAAAGATGACATGATGAACTCATCTCTATTGTTTCTCCATCTGGAAATGAAAACTCCAATACTTCAAAAAAAGCAGGAGTTTACTTTTGAGCCCCACCGGTCGTTCCTACAATTGTTCCCTGACAATGTGTGTGTCAGATGTTGCTCAGTACATGACAACTATGTTTCTGCCTGAAGAGTTTTTGCAGCATCACTGCCTACACCATTTCCATCAGTGTACTGCATCTGTTGTGCCATTTGTAAAACACTGAGATTTCTATTTACAGAGCAGGATTTTTTCTCAAGTGCTAGTAACAGCAATTGTAAGAAGTCAGGTTTGCTGTTGCTTCCTCTCCCTACTTCCGGAGAGGGAAGTTCTTCTGCTGCAGGGAAGGCACTTGGAGAAGTCAGTGTGTGGCACTGCTGGAGCATTTAATGCATCTGACAGAGGAAATGTAGCCAATTGCATATTTTTCAGTGATACAGAGACAGAAAATCTGTAACTATGGTGCTCGATAGAGGCAGTCACAAAGGGGCAGTTTTGACAAATTATAAATGTGTGTAGTGAAGGAGCCAGGGAAAATGGAGGATTTTAGTTCTTTAGTACATTTTGCTTTTAATTTGGACATGAAATAGTAATATTAATAGTAATGCTTTATCTTCTTGAAATCTACATAGTGGAGATTATCCACACCTGTCCTTCTTGCTCCTTGTTACCCCTATCATTTCATTACTTCTCTGCAGTCTTATAACAACTTTTTGCTCTTGTATTCTCTCCTTCCCCAAGAACTTATCTTCAGAAGGACAAAGAAAGGAGAAATGTTTCAAGTCCTTTCCCTTTTGTGTGCTTTTTTTACCCTTGGTTTGAGAAACATAGGACGTGCTTGACACTATCTGTATGTGATTGCAGATTGTGGGCTTCAGTCCTATGTTTTCATTCTCTTCAGCATCTTCTTAATCTGTTGTGATGAATCTGCATGGATCTTATCATAGACCATTAGTAAGCTCATTCTCAACCAGTTAATGGACTAGATTTCAGATGGATTTGGAGTTAGATACATACAAAGAAAATGCCACCTTGTTCAATACTTTTTAGTTTATCCACTTGTTATACAGTGGCATATTTAGTGCAATATGAGTGCATATTGAGTGCAACACACTCAAACAAAACAAACAAAGAAAAAACAACCAGACAGCCTTATCCAACCATGTTTAGAAATACAAGAAGATAACCAGAAACAGTAACTTGTCATCACTGCTGAGATGTACTGCCCACTGCCCCACTATGCTCACATGCACTGGTTGGTCTCCATCAACGTTCCGTCAATTCTGAAAGATTTAGTTGAGAAGTAAAAGATTAGGTATCAGCATGTTATTTTCTGTTGTGTAGATGGTCCTCTTCTCTACAGGTAGTATAACTTTTCAGTAATACCGTACTTGTCCCTGCGGTTCCCCTGACACAAAACTCAGTTGAAAACCCTAAATTAATTTGTCTTACTGTATGTAGAAAAGAGAGCGTACATCTGCAAGAGAGTCTCATGCGTGAGCAGAGCTGCATATAAAATAGGCTGTTGTTAGGGAATTTAAATCATTTTCCTCTTTAAGAAAAAATTGGCAGCTAGATGTTCTGCCAAACTTTTAGTGGGCTAAAACTCAAAGATCTCTATGGAGAACTGGAAAGAAGCCACTTTGGATCATAGTTTTTACCAACAGGGACTAAAAGGAACGATCAAAACAAATTTGAAGTTTTAATAAACAAACAAGTTTCCATCTTCACTACTTACATTACTGCTTCTCTCTCTTATGCTATGCAGGTATCACTAGGTTGCAGAAAGCAGATGGGGTTCTTATACTTGATTAGACTTTAATATCACTTCATATATATTTTAAAATGTATAAAAAGCCTCATGAATTCAAATGTCCACAGCTACAACCACAGTAATGGCTACACAGCTTATAGACAATAGCCAATGCCAGGTGTTAACTCATGAATATTTATGCACATCAGTCATCATGGAAGCAAAATCCAATTTGGACCTGAACTTACTCCCGGTACAGTGGAAAAAAAACACCTGGTACTCGAAGTGATCCTCCAGGGAACATCTTGGGAAAAAAAATAGTCTTCTCCCTCCCATCCCCATGTGTTTCTTTCCCCAGAAATGGGATGGGGAACAGGGATCACAACATAAAAACGTGATACAGTATTTCTTGATTAATTGATAGAGTTCGTAATTAATTGGAATATCTTTTTCCTCTGAAAAAAATAAATGTGAATAAACACTTTTTTACACACATTTTTTCAGTTGTGTCATGACGGTGGAACTTAAGCTCTGAATATTTATGCATTCTAAATTTCATGAGCTAAGGTAATTTTGAAGATGTCTGTGGAAGAAAAGTCTGTGCATAATTTTATTGTGTTTTATTTAAGTCAGTAAAAATTTTCTTCTAGTTTTATATAACTGGATATAACTGGAAGGCAGCAGAAAGCATTTTTATCACTTAAAAAAACAAAACAAAACAAAACAAAACAAAAAAAACAACTCATTTGAGCTTGGAAAGCTTCAATTCCAAAATAAGATTTTTTTTCCTGAGTTCTGGAGAAGAAAAAAAAAAAAAAAAAAAGTATGGAATTGAAATGGAACAAACATTTAATGCATGTTAAGATACGAGCTGCAGGCCAACCTGGCAGTCTGTACTGATCAGGAAAGCAGGACTGAAATCAGACTTCATCTGGAACTTAAATTTTCACTCTTGCCTTACTTCTCAATTTTCCTCCTGAAAACAGAACCCCATAAACTAAAGATTTAGCGTAAGGGTTGGGAGAGAATATTTGTGACAATAAAAATGCACAAAGCCACATAAAAGTGAATGAGATGCATCTTATATCAATTTGAAATTTAGATAAATGCAGTTAATGAAATAACAGAAAGACCCAGATCTGTTCTTCTTCCTAGTGACCATGGATGAGGAAGTCCTACAGTACCCGTGTGTGTACTCCTTTTCCCAGAGATCTGCCATTTTTCTGCACTAGCAGGTAAGATATTAAAGACCTGATGGTTGTACTGATTTTGAAGGAGAATAAGGCAAACATGAGTGATGTAGACAGCTGGCTGTGCTGCAGCTGGTTGAAAAATGTCTGCTTGAAATGTTGCAGTTACTATAAGCCACTGTATGAGAGCTGAGCTTGGCAGCGTACCCAGCATAAATGATTCTGAAGGATGCAGTTCTACATTTTGCTGATATATTTGTAGATTAATTATTCCTCTTTTCAGCTCCCGAGTTTCCTTTATTTTTTTCTCGACATCTACTATTCCTAGACTGCCAGTGGTTGTACTGGGCCAGAAGAATCCTGACAGTGACAATATTCTTTTGCATGGCCTTAGTGCAGGCTGTGCACCTGCATACCCCTCCAGACAGCCTGCCACAGATTGCAGTGTTGTCTACATCATTTCCAGAAAGGCTGAGAGATCCCTGTGTGTGCCAAGCATTGCACTGGGAGACTGGCTTCATAAACAGCATTCTAAGATTTTCATGGAAAAAGAACTACCTTGGGAATTATTTGTGATGTGCAGCAGAGCCAAGAAAATATCACTGAAGCTCAGTTTTAAAGGAAATGTAAGAGGGCATAAGTTAAAAGATGCAGCCAAGCTAGCATCAATTGCACATCTAAGGTTTGCATCAAGTGGCAGCGAGCAGTTAGATGGCTGTTTGCAAACCAAGATCATGATGGATCCTCATCTGGCTTTGGTTATCAAAGCAGAAGCATGCAGTGGCAAAAGCTACAGCCATCATTGCATCACTAGGGAACATTTTTTATATTTGCTCTGTAGCTGTAACAGCTAACAGAAGTCTGCAGTATCTAGAGAAACAGCTCAGAATGTACTTTCTAAGGAATTGCCTTTACAAAGCTCAGTCCATTTTCTATGGACTCAAACAGCAATTCAGACAGATGCAAATAAGTTAAAAACATGTATCTGTACTTGGAAAAAGGATGAGGACTTAGATGTAACAACCTAATACTCAGCTATACGTGCAGTTTGGAGCTTGTGGTATGTAATGTTTAGAATTCTGCAGAAGTATTTCTTATAGGAAAGATGCTAACTCATATCTTCTAATTAATTTTCAACTGAACATGATGGAATAGAGAAAATATCAAGGGGAGAAAGGAGTAGGAGTCATCAGATCTTAGAGCCATAAGAAATATTTTTTCCTCTTTAGTTACAGTTTCATATCTTGGTAATGCTGCAATTGGTAATTTACAGTACAAAAGAGCGCTGGGCTTATGTGGAATGTAGTTAGTCATTCAGATGTAAGATTTTCTTTCAGAGAAGCCATAATGGCCTGACAGAAAGTTTAACCAGAATGTGCCAGCAGTACACTTCACCAGAACTGTGATGCTGGAGACTGGTACATTCCATAGTCCTAAAGCAGATGGATACACATGGGGAAAAGAGCCATGTCCTGTCCCCAGCAGCGTGTTCCAACTCTGAAGTGAGATGTCCATGCCTGCAGTAACAACTTTGCGCCAGCAGCATAACTGCATTTGATGAAACATCGGTTTAAGCAAGACATTACTGTGGGTTGTACCTAATGGTGAGGTTGGAGGGCCCTGTGTGCTTTGGAGCTGTGAAGTCAAAGCACAGGCAGGCTGATCCCAACTCCTTTCCACCCCAAGCAAAGCTCTGCTGTGTCCAATGGTGACTGGAGGCCTGAGGGGCCAGGAAGCTATGGGCACTCAGCAGCTGCATATAAACCCTCATAAATTAGCACGTTAGAAATTCACATGAATGTAATGTGTTCTTGTCTGCACTTTTGCTCCTCTAGTGGCAGCTATGAGATAAATTGTTTCAAAGGGAAAGCATCTTATATTTAATATTAAATATATTTAATATTAAAGAAAAGTATGAAAAAAGAACACTAGAAAAGCATTACAATCTGCCAAAAATGCAAGAGGGTGGAGTGGGAAAATTGTGGAAATGCATGGACAGTATCCCAAAATGGAGATCTGAAAGAACTGCAGAGAATTCAGGCCAGTAAATGAAAAACGTGCTAGAAAAGTTTTGGTGATCTGACTTCACTGTCAGCAACTGCTATTCAGGTTACTTGTTAAGTAGAAATTACAATTTTTCCTTATTTATTCAGCTGTTTATCTAGTTTATGTCTCAGCATGTTTGACTTCAGGTACTACTGGTGGAAAAAAAAAAAAAAAAAAAAGAGGAATATCAACATAATAATTCCCATTTGCTTTTGAAATGTAATTTCCTCCCTATTTTCTCAGTGACCTGGAGCTAGTCCTTTAAACACGTTCGGCTCCAAAATGTAAGACAATTTATTTTTCTGTCGAGATAGTGAGGGATTCAGATATGAAGTAATGCATCCTTACGCTTTGCAGCTAATACCAATTTTCTGCTTTCTGCTGATATTTTGATATCTCTGCTTACCGTGGTCATCTCTGTATGTGAGTTACAAAACACAGAAGCAAAAAAAGACAAATTCTAACAGAGCAATAGCACGTTAGATAGAGCAAGTCACAAAAACAATGCCAGGCTCTGAGAAGTCTCTATTTACAGAGCTTTCCTATGGTCCTTTCTGAAACAATAAACAGATTCTAGGGCAACAGATACAGCTCCTTCCAACTGATACCAGCCCTTCTCTCAGTTATGCAGCCATACTACTTTTATCTGCATATGTGACACTACATGTGCACACACATTTACTTTACTGAACACAACAGAAAGGGGAAATAGGTTCCAAAGACTTTTAAGCAATGTTCAATAGGAAGGAGAAAATGAAGTGCTTCTGAATGTGTGCAATATTGTATTATTATTCCATTATTATTTGAATGTTTCTAGTTGTTGCTTGGCCTTTGAAATTGTACAAAAAAAAAAATTAAAAATCATCAAAGATGGCGAAGAGAACATGTCAGAAAATATATCCATAGGTCTTTGCAGGGTTTGTTAGTATACGTATGTAGGTTGTTTTATATGCAAAGGCATGGAGATGCATTTTCCTTCACTTTTATCTGTGTATCAGTTTTCTAGTTAATGTGTTGCTTTCAATTAAGTATAAAACAATAAGAAGTAGAAGGTGACTTTGTTGTCTAAGTGACAAGAATGATGGCTGAAATCCGGCAGCTGCACCATTTCTTTCTAAACCAATCCCAAATTCAATTAAAATTCTATTCTGGGGGCACAAGTAATAATCTGTGATAATTGCATTACAGTAATTTAAACTACATACTTTTTAATCTCATGTAATTTAAATGCATCCAAGGAAGACAGCTTGAACTACAAATTTTTGTTTCCTAATATTGGAAGTAATGTATGTAAATGGAAACTAAATTATAAAACTTTGCTTCACATTACTTTTATGGCTATGTAATGCTCTCAGATTGTTATTACTTGAACTATACTAAGAATTTATGAAATTGCCATTTAACATGATTAGTACTGTTATTTGTTTGAGTCCTCATAATTCTAGAAACATTTAGGTTTTTATTTTGTCTATCAATTAAAAGAAGAATAATAAATATTAGGGAAAACAGTGCATTTGCAATGAGATCTTGCTCAGGAAGCAGGGAGAATGATATGTTCTCAGGTCACAGACTCCATATTCTCAGTAGGATCACATTGCAAATCAAGGCTAGGACAAGACAGCAGAACGAAATAACTGTATCAAACTGAACATGTTATTTCTGTGATTAAACAAACACAGCACATTAGGAAATGATGAAGAGAATACATACTACAAAGTTGAGTAATTTGACCTTATTGGCTTCTGCTAGATTGCATGCCCTTGGGTAGGGATTGAAGTCAAAAGTACATGGAAGGTCTCCAAGGAAAATGTGGAGTCCAAGACATTCCTCAGTCAGACACTGCTTACCTTAAAATGGCTGTGATCAATTTGTCAGTAAGGAGATCCTGCATAACAATAACAACATAGCAGAGCAGGTCTGTTAGATTTGAGTTTCAAGGAATTGATGCAAGTTATTATTTTCCTTATTTTGTTTCCGTACCCGGCAGGTTGGTTGGTTGGTTTCTCAGATTTCAACAAATGTTAAAATTTTTAACAAATTCTGATCTGTTTGAGTCTCCTTACATCTGAGTAACTGGAAGGCTGATGTGGGGATACAGTATGCACATAGCTGGTTATCTCAGTAGAGTACAGATAAGAATTTCGTAATAGACAAATTATCTGATATTCTTAAATAACTTCTGTTCAGTTTTCCACATACTGTTAAAATTTGTATTGGTAGAGTTATGGTTCTGCTTGGTCTTGATTAAATATGTATGTATACCATAAAAAAAAAAGTCTCCTACAAAATATAAATGCAAGTGCTTACGTAAAAACACCTCTGTGCAGTATGACAGGTACAGGCAGAGCCTTGCTAACAGAGAAATAACTGTTGTTTCCTTTGCATTAGATCATTTACTCCATGACTTGAATTTCAGGGAGCTTAGTAATAACTTTTTCATTTCTTTCCTTGTCAACTAGAAATCCAGTAATTACAATTACATTTTTTGAAACTGACAATATATATTGTCATAAATATTGCACCACTTTACATTTTTTGTATCAAAGTAAAAGGGTTCAAGGGTTTCTGTGTATTCATCTCATCTGCCAACTATACCTCAGAAAGTGCAGGAACTAAAGTTTTTAAATTACTCCCTATGCAAATGTAGAAACATGGAAAATGTTTCACTTAATTTTCTCAGCTAAGGTCAACTTCATTTGGTGAATGCAACAAGTCAGCCTGTAGCAGTAAGCAATCATCTATCAGCTTACTGAAAAGGCAGCTGTATGTCCTTGGCATTTGTGTTAGAGACAACTGAGTTTCCTGCTATTTGTACTGAAAATGTAAACACAAGTCAACAGATTTGAGATATGAGTCCTTTCTTATTTCTGTTTCAGATGTAACATGGTGAAGTCACAAGATTTTGCATTAAGTTTTCTTTAGAGAATTCAACAAGACAGAATTTCTTTTATAAGAGATCTGTGTCAGTGAGTTTCTTCAGTAACTTCCAGACATAAAAACATCTCCTTGATTAAGGAAAAATCTGACTGGTGCGTTGCTTTTTTGTTTGTTTTTCAATTCAAAATCCACAGTTCGTTGATTCTCTGAAAATGTAGACTCAAATTGCAAAGATATTGCATTACATGCACTTCATCCAAATTTCTCAGAGGACAGAATAGAAGCAGACACTACTCATCTGAGATACTATCTTATATATTATTTTGAAACAGGTTTGGTATAAAAAGCAGAAAGATAGGGACGATGTGAAAATTGAGACCCCCGAGTTTGACATTTTCAAATGTTCACAGCTTCCAGTGTGATGTTAAGTTAAATGAATGACACTCGAGTAATCTGGCAGTTTCCAGAGGCCAAGATGAGCATGTGTGAGGACTGATTCTTTATTACACATAACTTCTTTAAGCCTTACTGAAGCAAGCACAGCTCCCTAGTGGTCATCTAGGAGAGTTCATAATAAGAGTGAGTGAAAAGGAAGATATTTTAACTTAATAGTCAAAAAACATTGTGAGAGGGTAGTACAGTAAACCAGAAATCCTCACCTTCTGAACTCCTTGTATAAAGAACTGTAATTGAGGATTGTGTCACACACTGAAGCTCCCCTATGAGTTTGATCATAACTGATACATAATGTGCAGTTTTAGGGAAAAGTTAATTTTAAAATGTTAGAATAGCATGCTCCAAACAGTTGTCTCCATATGTTTGCAGATGTAAATGTATAGAAGAACAGTGGTTCCTTCATCCATGTGCTATGTTATCTACATGTGTATATATAGCTTTAGCATATATGCATCTTTTTATTATCACACTCACTTGTACTTGTGGTACCTATTATGCTGTGTACAGATTTTATCCTCTGTAATCCTTTTATTATCTCTGTGAATTTGTAAACGTTTCCTTTGAAGATTAATCCCATAATTAAAGGGCATATTTAAGTAATGAAACTCTGGATTGCTCGTACTTAAGTGGCGTGTGCAATCTTCAACAATGACAATACATCTAAACATGCATTTTGGTAGAAGTAACCAAGTGCAAGCTGATATTTCCAAAAGAAGGACTTGGAACTGCTGATACACGACACACCAGGTAAGTGTGAATATTTTATTGTTCATTATGCTTTGGTTGGAACAGACTTCGTTTAAGCAGTTACATTTAATTCATGTCTACTGATGTCGTATGACGCCTTTCTTGTGTATTAAACAGAAAAAGGCTCAGTTTTACCAGTACACAAGAGTAATATTCCACAACTGACGGAAGAAGCAACAATATATGCTGAATCAAAGTCTAAATATCCTACATCACAAATTACTCCATTTTCTGTTTCATGCCTTGTCTGCCTGTGGGTAAGCAGGTCATCAGCTCATTCTAGTGGAGTCCTATTTCTTTGGTTACTAATTTGTTCTGAAAGCTACCTTCATTTGTGAAAGCTGTCCCACATTTCCTGCCATAACAAAGTCTTCCTGCTGGCTGAACAAGAATAGACTAAATAATCCTGCCTGCTGCCAGAATTCAACAAGGCACAGATGGAAGTTGCAGTCATCAGATGTTTGAGCAGCAGATTACGCTGCTTCTAGTCATTGGTGCTGAAGTGTTTCACCAGGGGGATAAGTTTGTTCACTTGATCTCTTCAGTTTGGGCTTGAAATGGAACCCCTGGTGGTGACTTACTGTAATTAATGGACCATCATATTAGGATTTCCCTTAATTTGCAATTGTCGGGGGGAAGAAATGGTGTATTAAGATCAAAATATGAATTATTATTATTTTTTTTAACAAAAAGCCACATCTGATAAAGTTTTATAGAAATACTGAGCAAGCTTCTCTGTCCTTCAAGTAAAACCCTGAGGCTAGAACTGACTGGATCATAACAAATGTCTCACTAACTGCCAAAAATATGTATGGGAAGCACAGCCTTGTTGGGTAACTGAGCACATGTAATTTTGAATAAATACAGCAATTGTCATGTATTATTTGAAAAAGATGGAATAGAAAGTTGTAATCTATTGACCTTGTTCAGGTAATGAAGACTAAGGAGTTTCAAGCAAATATGAGGGGGAAAAAGAAAGAACAATGAAGTGTTCTGTAGAAATGTTTTTATTGAGTCTGGGGCCTTGGCTGGGTAAAAGGAGATCACAAGACAGTTAAAAAGCTGCAGGAGATAAAACTGCTGAATGACCAAAGGATTAGAGACCTCACTAAAAGTTCTTCTCCTCAATATCACTTAGTGAGCCAACACTAATGAGATATTTTGCAAGGATGAACATCCATAAAGAAACTTCTGCAGGTGGTGTTCTTTTATCTCTTTCTCTTACTCTACCTGGAAGAAAAAACACCCTTATAGTTGGCCTGTGTAATTATTTTTCTTTTGACAGTCTGTCATAAAGGAAAATAAAGAATTAAGTAACAGCATCCTTTCCATGTGATGAGTAGCAACAGTTCTGTAATCCTTATCTGAAATCTGTTGGCAGTTGGAAGTAGGAAATTTAATGATTTTTTTCTTTGAGTTTTATAAAGGGTACTGGACTGCCAACATTAACATGTGACATTAGCATTTGTTCCTTATAAAATATATATTTCAAGGGAATTCCTGTTAGAGTAAGCTCAGCTTTCTCATTTCCTGATTTCATCTCCAAACTTTCTTTGGACTTTTTTTTCTGTATTGTTAATTTCTTTGTGTGGTACTTTCTTTGCTCGTTGCATAGGCAGAGCTTTTGGTTACTGGCAGCCTTGACAAAATTTTCAGATTGTAGGCATGATTTTTTTAATAACTGCAAATAAAAATGGGTTTTTCAAACCTGTATTTTCTGAATTTGGTCTATGTTTTTTTTGCTGGAGGGGTATTAAATTAATTTGAGTTAAAGCTTCCAAGAATGTATAACCTTACTCTGTATCATATGGTAAACAGCTTTGTCACCCAAAAAAACTCAGTCCAACTTGTGAAAGTTAATAATCAAGCTATGCTTCATCACTCCTTCATGCAAGATAAGTGATTAGTTTTCTCTACAATACAGCGTAGATAACCAGAACTTGGCACATGTGCTTGTCTGATAGCAGTGAAAAACAAACAAGAAGCCAATAACTGAAGTCTGAAAAGATGATGAACAGGAATTTGCATGAAAATTTGTTTGAGGAATATTTTGTCTGATGTATGAATTTTGTATTCTAGATTCCCAGATATTGTAATCAAAGTAATTGCTCTAGTTAATCTACTGCATATGGTGATCTAACTCATTTATTTCAATTCACCACCCCAGTAGCATACTTTTATCTAAATTATACTTTATTCAGTTCAGACTATGAAGAATCCTGTATTTTCTTTTCAAATAACTTTTTTTTTTTTTTTTTTTTTTTTTTTTTTTTTTTTGCTGCTTCACTTTCCAGCTTTTTTGTTTCAGGTAGAGTAGAGATGTTTGTACGATTTTCCAGTAAAAAAGCTCTCTTATTTTAAAGTTAAGTTTGTATGAGTGTATTCAGATTAACCCTTATTTTAAAAAATGTTTTGTACTGAATTTTATGATTTCTTTACAATCTTGACTTCAGTACCTAAAGTAATTTTCAAACAGAGCACCTGGATCTCATAGTATCCCTAGTCTGAGAGGATGCACTAGCATTGGCAACAGTGAGCTCCCTGATCAGTTAGAAAGACTACAGCAAGTCTTTTGCAATGTCACAGTCTAGCTGGGTTCACTTTTCTTAGCTCTTGTACTTGTTTGATCCATGTGTAATCTAGGTTTTATGTGGGAAGGGAATAGCGAAAAAAAAAAAAAAAAAAGAGCTCATTTAAGATGAGAGTAGGAAAAAAACCCCACTATTTTGAAGTACATTGTACTGAGAGTGCTTTTTTTTAGGAGAATCTGTGGCCTTTGGAAATGAATCACCTTTAAAAAGGAATGACCAGGATGACCTGAAGGAGGTGAAGAGGCAGGCAGTCAGCCCAGCTCACTTTTTCCTTCTGTGCAGTGTCATCACAAAACTCTTCGCTATTTTTCATCTGTTGTGACCACAATGTTAAGAAAGGTAGGTGCAAGTCCTACTTATTTTAAAATGGTACAACTGAGAAGCCAATGTTGCTGTCTCTTAACCCATAGAGCAGATGTGTATGTTTAAAGTGCCAGATTCTAATGGAAGGTTTAATATTAAAAAACCTCCAAAACACAGAACCATAGAATTCCTCAGGTTGGAAAAGACCTTAAAGATCATCAGGTCCAACCACAGCCTAACCTTACTATCATGGCCCTGAGCACCACATCCAAATGGTTTTTAAACACATCCAGGGATGGTGATTTAACCACCTCCTTGGGGGAGCCTATTCCAGTGTTTAACACTTTCTGTAAAGAAGTGTTTCGTGATATCCAATCTAAACCTGCCCTGGTGCAACTTGAGGCCGTTTCCCCTCATCCTTTCACCTGTCACTAATGAGAAGCGACCAACCCCGCTCTGCTGTAAGCACCTTTCAGTTATTGGAAGAGAGCAATAAGGTCTCCCCTCAGCCTCCTTAGTTCCTGTTAGTGCAGGAAACTTTTAGCATAATTGAGTACAGTTTTTGATGTGTCAAGGAGGCACTTCATAGAAGAATCATAGAATGTCCTGGGTTGAAAAGCACCACAATGACCATCTGGTTCCAACCCCCTGCTATGTGCAGGGTCACCAATCAGCAGACCAGGCTGCCCAGAGCCACATCCAGCCTGGCCTTGAATGCCTCCAGGGATGGGACATCCACAGCCTCCTTGGGCAACCTGTTCCACTTGTGATTGTAGAGTATAAAAATTGCAAGAATGGTAATTTTAAAGCATGCACATGAGGATGCAAATACAGCAGTCACTTTTCTTAAAAACCATTGCTCACCTGAAGGTTGTGATTGCAAAAATAGCTCTGTGGCACTGAAATGACAGGATTTAAATATAAGTAATCGAATGTTAAGCATGCAGCTACTGCAAATTGTGAATGCCTTGGAGGAAAAATTCTACAAATTGACTCTTTGTACGGATGTGAAGTAAGGAACATCCAAGCACGAGCAACTGTTTGAAGATTTATAATTAAACAGGATGTGTCTGAAAGACCAAAAATTAATAACACGGTTTTAAGAATGCTGGAATTTATGTATGCATATATTTGTGCAACTGCATTCTGTTGTAGATGTTTAGCGTGTATTTAGGCTTTTTATAGTATTGGAAAATGTGTAGTTTACTTGGCATCAAGATAACATCATTGCAACTGAGCTGATAAACAATTGCACTGGTTTCACATCCTCCTGTTCAGGTGTAGTTCTTGAATGATAACAGCTAGCTCTAATCCAATTCACAATTTCCAAAAATAGGAACCAAATATATGTCTAATAATTCTAAAATGAAGGAATGGGGAAGATGTCCTTAAAGGAGGAAAAAAATGGATCAAGATGTGCATTTATTAACTTAATGTTTATTATTGAGTCTAGTTTATTTTTCAGTTGATCCACAAAGTACTGTTTTTTATCATGTAGTGCATAAGTCTGCTTTAAGTGATTGCAAGAATGAAAGATTATTGTACACTTAAATTATAATATACATATGGGCATATCTTTAGAACATCTTCCTCAGCAGCCTATAATTAGATACCAGTTTCCTACAGTAGACAGTAAAGTGACAGCTGGGAGTATGGAAACAACACTAGAAATTCCAGATGTGATTTGAAGAATATGTAGTCGGGGAAAAAGAAGCCCTTTCCATTTGAATTTTCAGGTTTTGGTTTTGCTGCTAAGTTCAGCATGACTCAAATTGACTCTGACAGAGGCATGATTCAAAGTCATTATGGTCCATGGAGCTATTGGCATTGCTTTTATAAGACTTTTGATTGGTCTTGAATGTAGTATTTGCATTAGTTTAAGTATTAGCCTGCAGTAATTTGCACATTGTTTCTGTTATTAGCCGTTACTCTGGAAGTCAGCTAATGACACACGCTTGGTTTCTATTACACAACGTTGTATCTGTATCAGTTAATTAGCTATCAGCTGAAATTCCCTTGCTTTTCTAGCATAGTTGTTCACCATTTTTAGATTATTCATTTAGATTAATTATTTAAGTGTATCCAAAGTAAAGTGTTCTGGGGAGAAATTAGAGATCATTTTAACAAATGCTTATCAGGCTGATGGGATGTTGCACTTAGCTCAGCTACGACTTGTGCAAAATAAGAAAAATTACTGAGTAAATAACCAAAAGTTCTGTCTCTAGTTTTCATTTTGTCATTTATCAATGACTCTGTGTTCAGAAAAGTTAGTATGTATTTCCAGTATTTGAAGGGAGCATATAAACAGGAGGGGGAACAGCTGTTTACAAGGGTGGATAGTGGTAGGACAAGGGGGAATGGTTTTAAACTGAGACAGGGGAGGTTTATGTTAGATATGAGGAGGAAGTTATTCACACAGAGGGTGGTGAGGCATTGGAACAGGTTGCCCAAGGAGGTTGTGGATGCCCCATCCCTGCAGGCCAGGCTGGATGTGGCTCTGGGCATCCTTGGTCTGCTGGTTGGCAACCCTGCACACAGCAGGGGGTTGGAACTGGATGGTCACTGTGGTCCTTTTCAACCCAGGCCATTCTGTGATTGTGTGATTTCCTTTTGACTTAGTTTGTATTTATGTAGATTATTGTGTCTTCTAAAATGATGCTGAGTTTAGCATAACATATGACACCATGTTAAACACATATGAAGCAATCCATATTCCTGGTCTTCTATTTTACAGAAAGCATGTTAATGTACTATCTCTTATTATTGAGATTTTACAATACTAGGCTTGGTTTACATTGTTGTTATTCTCACAATACAGCTTATCTGTGCACCTCTTTTCACAGTTGGGTAGATAAATGTATGTTCAACTAATTCAGCATGTCTGTTTCTTGGCAGCTGATTGCAAAGCCCTAAGTTTAGTAAATTGAATGTTAGTGCAGCTTTGAATGAACTCCATGAATTCAGAGCAACTGTGAGCTCAGTTGCCACTGGGCATTCACTCTAGCTAATGAGTCAAACAGCAAAACAGGATATAAAGATACAGAATTACAGGGGCTGAATTTTGCAGTTTTAATGGCTTAACAGAAATATTCCCATAATTACCAGGCTTGTCAGCCCACGCCAAGCCCATCACCTAGCACTCGAGGAATAAAGGCTTCCAAGCATTTTGGACACCTGCCCCATTTCTGTAGGCCTCATTTTGAAGGGACAGTGCAGACGCCTAACTATGAGCAAGGAGGAATACATCTGGGAGTACATATGTGCCAAGGCTCTGGCAGGGAGATGAAGCCTACATTTGCCACATTTGGTTTCCAAAATGTAAGTGATTTTTGAAACATAACGCAAATTTTTAAAAGTGCTTCTTACTTAAAGGAGTAACTTAAGAGCTGTCCACGAGTATTCATGCTATGTATTAAATAGCAGCAAATCAGAATGAAAAGTGGTAATCAAGACATCTTGATTTAGTATAGACACATTATGTAGCATGAGCAGCTGAGGAGAGCCAACAGCTCTGACAGTGGCTTTCACTGCCTCTTCCAGAGCAGATGACTGAGCAGTGCAACTGCATTCAGTGCTGGCATGGCAGTCTCAGGAATGAAAAGAAGCTCCTGGTGACAGCTCCAGCACTGCAAACTGCCAGTCTGCGGGCCTGGTGAGAACAGACAGCCAGACAAAAACAGCAATAGGATATGGGGGAAAAGAATGGATCCAGATACAGAAAAATTGATTTCTCTAATTTCTCCTGCTTGTAACCGTGTTCAACTATTGTTCTTTAAAGCAATGTGTAATACAGCTGTTTACCAAGAGGACCACTGAGCACAGCTATCTAGGAGGTTTATAACTGATTTCCTATGGGTAACTAGTGAAAGGTTAGAGGAACGCAAAAACACCACACAACTAGTGAGTGGATATTTCCCTTTTAAGTATTGTTCTAAGGAGCTTTCAATTCTAGGTTATTGTGTCTAAATCTGTTCCAATCTCGTAGTGAATGTAGTCTGTTCCTGGTGGAGATGTTTCAGAAAAAAATTCTGATGAACTGTTCATGCCTTTTTTCTTCAAGGAAAATAATGGGGCTGTATAATCCATGACTTAGCTCAATATTTTACACTAAAACTGGAAACATTTATACGCATGTCAAATTTT